AGGAAGGGCCGCGGAGCCAGGCGCGGGGCGACAAGTCGGACGGCTGCGCAGCGGCCATCTGCGAAGCGGTCACTCGAGGGCGTTTGCTTCTAAGAACTTCACTGGCTGGAGGCTCCCCCAAGCCTGGGCCGGGAGGCTCTTCCTTCGGAACCTGCGGGGACCGCGGGCCCTCGCTCCAGGCGAGATGTGTCTGTGTAAGGCCCAGGAGCCCGCAACCGACCCGCACGCGCTGCGCGTCACGTGCTGCGATCCACCCGCCTGCGCGTTCATGGTCACGACGTGAGGGCGCCCGCGACACGGACGGGACCCCGGTGTGGGGAGCCGGCCTGGGCCGGGGAAGCCTCGTGAATAGCCACGGGCTGACGAGGGGCTGAAACGCAGCTTACATTGCTTTGAATAAAAATACATTAATTTGGAAATTTTTTAATTTACCAGTTACTATTTTACTGGCATCCATATTGAAAAGGTAGTAAGGGCCCGATGGAATTAATTATAATAATATTTTATTTCATTCAGCAGATCTAAAAGTAGAATTTCAGCACACATTCAGTATTCTGAAAGTACTTTCTTTTCATACTATGACCTCAAAATCTGGGGTATCATTTACGCTTACTCTATTTCTTCATTTGGATCCTATATTTTCAGTCCAAATAGTTATTTCCATAAAATTTGCATTTGAAAGAGGCGATTCACATATCCAACAGTGGTCAAGAGTGCTTAAACATTTTCAGGTAGCTGAGTTGAGATTAAAATGAATTAAAAATTAAAAACCTAAAACACTTCCACATTGCTCAAGCTGTGGTCACCCTGACAGTGCTGAAGGGACCCAGAGAAGGGTCCTGAAGGCACTGTCGGACAGGACGGTGTCCAGAGCTGACCCTCTCTGACCCCTCCTCCAAACTAACACAGTTCCTGGTAGCTTACACTGTCCACTCTTCTCACCAACATTCTATAAGCAATTTTTTCTCAGTTATATTTTCTCATAACAGGCCATGTTTTCTAGTAAACTTTAATTAAAGTAAACTTTAATTCTGATATGATGAAGAAATGCTCCCTGTTGCGTTCTGCAGAGACTTACAATGATACAAACCCTGAACTGATCCAGTCGGTCACACATCTTTACCCAGAATAGACAGTGCTAGAAAGCTTCCGCCAAGCCCTATAACCAGTGTTAAAAAAGGAGACCCCATTGTATTTTTTAAAAAGTAGTGATTAAAGTATCCCCTTTTGACTTATATCAGTGCCTGAGAATCAAAAAATCAGAATACTTTCATGCCTCTGCTTTAGCTCTCTGGCGGGGTGTCACTGAACTTTGCTCAGCTGAACAGTGCTAGGAGACAAAACAGATAAGGGAGGGGACTGACAGAGCTGCCACGAAGCTGGACTTGGGTCCACCTGGCTAACGGGGCTATGGGGAACCCGGGGAAACAGGGCAGCGGGAACTCGGCAGGTGACCTCGGGTTATGGGCCGCGAAACCCGCTGTCCCGGCAGACAGCGTCCCAGTTGGAAAGACCGACGCCCCTCGTCATAAAAAGCCCTCAAAAGAGGTTGTAAAGGGAGCCCCAAGTTCTCCCCACGCAGCCGTCCCCTTGCCTCCTGCTCTCTTGCAGGGTATTCCAATGACTCTTTTCTGTTCTCCAGCTTCCTGGCGAAAGCCTCTGCCTCTCGCTTCACCACGCTATTTCTCCCTACTACACGCGCCTTATAATTTTATTGTTTTACAAAAATAAATGTTAAAAGCTAGGGTACTAGACTGAATGACAGCAGCTACAGGATTTCTTATTTAACTAAAACCCAGGTAACCCTGGAAATAACAAAACCCACTGATCAAGCAAGATGTTCAAATCTTTACCGAAGATGAGTCCATAATCCTGTTGTCAAACTGCAGCAAAAGCCCGAGGGTCAGAGGCTGGCGCCCCCGTGTCCCCCCGGGAGGGCCGCCGCCTGCCTACACCCTGGCCCGCAGGCGCTGGGCCTGGTCCCGCAGCTCCATGGCGGCGATGGAGGAGAGGTGGACCTCGTCGGGGCCATCTGCCAGGCGCAGGGTCCGGGCGAGGGCATACCTGGGGCAGGAGAGAGGCAGCCTTGCGGGAGTCAGCAAGAAGGGAACCAGCTGCTCGGGTTCCTAGCTGGGCTCTTCGTGTCTGAAACCCCGCCAGGGCCAGGAGAGCCTGGCGCACAGGGACAACGCGGGCGAAGCAGCCCGAGGGCTCTGACGTGCCGAGCTCAAGTGCTGGCCTTGGGGGACACTGAAATGGCCTCGCGAGGGCTTAATCTGTCTGGACTTGCTATAGGTTGGCTGGTGGAGTGGCCAGAGCTGCGAGATGTCGCAGGTAAGTCAAAATGTAAATAGATGGTAATTACTATGAATAAATCCTAACTATATAATTAATTTTTTTCATGTTCAAAAAGGATGGGGTTGGGGGCTGGGGCACAAGAGTGGCCCCCCGGGGTGATGGAAAGGGGGCATATGCCTTCCTGACCCACAGCACCAGGGCCTGGACCTGAGCTGGTGGCTGGCCCAAGCTGCAAAGCCAGCCCAGGCTGACACTGGCCACCTCTGCTCCCTACTCTCCTCCGTGTATCCGGTGAACCCCCAAGCTATGCCTGCCCCCGAGAAAGCCTCTGTGTGTCCCCTCATGCAAAAGTTAGCACGATGGAGTAAAACGTGAACTGTATCATGCCTCATGCAAACCAACGGGCACTGGGCCCTCCAGGCCCTGGCACTTCTCCAGCCTTCAGAGATGCCCCCAGCAGCGTTTCCATCTTTATTTTCCTCGTCATCAATCAGAGTCACGCACCTGCGGGTCTTTGACTCTAAGTCTGTTGCGTTAGATGGTCGTAAGTGACAGTCACTCACATGTGAGCCAGGGGGTAGTCCTGGGAGACGCCCGCTCCGCCGCACACCTGGATGGCCCGGTCGATGATGCTGCAGACGGCCCGCGGGGCAGCCACCTTAATCATCGCGACCTGCACACAGGAGAGAGAAGAATGTTTCTTCTTACATCATGCACTGTGGCCAATTGGAAAGAATCTCTATTTTCTTTGTGAAGTGAGAAAGGGAAACTTGCCGAAGTGCAACTGGCCACTGATACAGGAGCTCTGATGACAGCTAACAGAGAGGGCCTGCGCTGCACTTCCCGCGGCTCTATTTCAGTCAGGACCGACCTCCTGGAAAGAGGGTGTCTTTTCCAGATCACACTTTAGCCTGCTTTGTTTTCAAACGGGCTGCAGGCAGCTGATAAACCACACTGATCAGGAATCATTTAAGAGAGTTGATGGAGCATTATTATCTTAGCAATTGTGTTGGCTTTTCCGATGAAAGCACATTCTTATTCCATGTGAGTGGCCATGGACGAGAGATGCCTTGGTGCTCTTGCCGGGTGGCTGCTGATACTACCTATGCCGTTTGTGCCATCCAGGTCACTCTGCCCTAGAACCTGGGGCCATAGGAGGAAAGGTGAGATGCTTTCCCCAGGTCACAAGACCAGCAGGAAGGGACAGACTCGAGGATGCCCCCACCCCTGCTGCATCTCAAAAACACTCCAGACATCCTGGAAATCATTCCCTAAACACTCAGTGAGAGGAAAACTAGATGCTTGAAACCAAACCGCTGGAAGCTCCCCATGTTCTGGGTGCCATCAAGGCACCGTGAAGCCTGAATGGGTGGGAGAAATGGGGGAGGTGTGGCGGGCAGGGGTCTGAGGGACTCACCTCCTTCCTAGCACGGGCGCTGCCCAGTGTGTCAATGCTGTGTGCGGCTTTCAGGGTCAACAAGCGGATCTGCTCGATGGCAAGTCGGCTTTCTGCGATCCAGTGAGCTACCACCTCCTGAGGGAAGCAGAGGCACAGAGGGGAGAGAAGCTGTGAAGATGCTTTCTAGGCCAAGCACTGTTCCCAGTCCCCACTAAATAGATTTCCGAATGGAAGAGTTCATTCTTTTTTTTTAAGATTTGTTGATTTGTGCATACAGAACTGGGGTACAGGCCAGAGGTACAGGGGTGGTGAGAGGATTCACCAGACACAGAGTAGGGAGTAGAACAGGCCGACGGATGAAGTCCACTGCTGAGGGGAGCAGCGGGTGGGTCACCGCCATGTGGTCACCTCCGGGGCAGGCGGGAATTGAACTCATGCTGAAGTGGCGTTAGCTTCTCAGTGCTGTGCTTTAATCCCCTGTGTCACCAAGGAGGGCCCAAGAGTTCATTCTTTTGAACCAGTTGGTCACATATCCTAAGGATGTTGCCATTAACGCTGGCAGATGTCAAGAAAAGCCGTGCTCAGACGCATAATTTACTTTGGATCCTGCTGTTGAAAGTTCAGGTAGCTGAAGCAAGTGTCTTCTTGCTACAATACTCCTTGCTGGCCCTTCTGAATGCTCATCACCTCATCTCATTGAAACTTGGTGAAGTGTATAAGGGTAGACCTGTTCATAAAAGATCTAGAAAATTCCCAAGACCATTTCAGTGTGGGGCAGGTGCAGTCAACCTCACGGTCATGTTGCTGTTATTTCCTTAGTTTAAAAATGACCTTTTTCACAGACTGGTGAATGATGCAGTGAATTCTGAATGGCATGTTTATATCAAGATACAAGACAGTCCCCTCCCCACAAACTCGCTCAGGCCACCCGTTGTCATCACGCCTCCATCACGATCCCCCAGCAACCGCCGGCTGGGTCTCCAGCACCACAGCTCTGTCTATCCCAGGATCTCCTATGTGGAGTCATACGCTGAGTTCTTCACAAACTGGCTTCTTTGATTCCATAATGCCTTGCAGCTTCAGCTGGATTTCTCCTCACATCCACTGTCCAGCCATTTTTTATCACTGAGTCGTATTCCATTGTAGGAGTATGACATGGTCTCTTTCTCCATATTCACTGGTTGAGGAAATTTTGGATTGCTTCCAGTTGAGGGTGATTATTAACAGAACTTCTGTCAATGTTTGCATTTGGCTTCTGGTATGAGCATAGTTTGCATTTGTTAAAGCAGATGCCAGGCAGGGAATATGTTGGGTCATGTGTAAATGCTGACGAGAAGCCGTCTGTTTTCCAGAGGGCCTGCGCCACTTCGCATGCCCTCAGCAGAGTAGGGGAGTCCCTGCTGCTTTCCAAACCATCCAAACTTGGGATTTAATTTTTTAATTTTAGCTATTTTGACAAGTATGCAGATAAAGCTCACAGTGGCTTCAATTTGCATTTCCCCCATGGCAAGTGATGTTGGCCATCTTGACATCTTACTGTTCCTATATTCTCTCTAGTGCCATGTCTGTTGAAGACATTTGCTTGTGTTGGGTTTAGAGTGTTCTGGTGCAGGATGCAAGTCATTTATCAGACAGGTGATTTGCAAATATATTTTTTTTTGATTTGCAAATATTTTTTCCTAGCCCATAGCTTTTTTCATTCTCTAAACAGTCGCATTCATTGAGCAAAAGCCTTTAATTTTAATGAAGTTGAATATGCCATCTTTTTCCTTCTATTACACAATTTTTGAGCCCAAGAATACTTTGTGTTGCTCAGGTCACAAAGACTTTCCCCTATCTTTTCTTCTAAAATGTTTATAGTTTTACTTTTACATTTAGAGCCATTACAGTTAAATTTCTCATGGGATGTGAGGTTTAAGTCAAAGTTCATTTTTGTGCCCATAAAAGTCCAATTGTTTCAACACTATTCATTGTAAAGAATAACCTTCCTCCATCCCACTGCTTTTGCACCCACACAAAGGTTACACATATCTACTCTTTTGCAGAGACCTATGTGTCTTTCCCTTGCTAATTTCACACTGTTGACATATCCAAAGCTTAGAGTATGTCTACAGACCAGGCAGTCTGACTCTTCCAATTTGGAAGAGTTATGTTAAAAAAGAGACATTCAAAAACACTATAAATATATCAAGATAGAATTTTAAAATTGTTAAATTGTTAAGCCACAGGACTGCAGGAAAAATGAAACAAGACAGAAGCAAAAACTAATGAGGGAAAAATAGAAAGCAAAAAATAAAATGGCAGATTTAACCCTAATATAAATTATTATTAAGACCCAAAAAGATGAATTTAAAACACGATCCAATTATATACCATCTAGAAGAAATTTGCCTTCAAATGTGATGATGCAGAGTAGGTAGGCAAAAAAAAAAAAAAAAAAGGAGGGGGCAATAGACGTTTGAAATACTAATCAAAAGCAAGCAGATGCCATTATACCACTATCAGATAAAGGAGACTACAGAGCCAAGAAAACTGCCAGAGACAGAGGAGAAGGTCATCTGAAGACAAAAGCCGGAGTCGGTTAAGGGGTAGAGCGATCCTCAATGTGTCTGCATAGAGCAAGAATTGCTGAATATGTAAAACAAAACCTGACACAAGAACATTTACAGCTGGAGGTCAATAAAATCGAAAACAAAAAAGAACAGAGAAAATCAGTAAGATAAAAATCTTAAGATAAAAATCTTGTTAAATTCTAACACACTCTGATTCTATTGTACCATTTGTATATTAATAATAAACATATATTCTTTGAAAAGATCAATGGAATGACACAGCTCCAGTGAGACTGATAACGGACAAGCAGGCACAAGTAACCTCTGCTGGGAATGAAGCCAGGGGGTCACGACAGAGCAGGGGACACGAGCCTGTGCACGGACAGAGCCGTGGGCACCAATGCCACCGAGCCCTCCAGCTGCCAAACATTCTCCGAGACCCCGGAGACATAACAAGCGCTTCCTGTTGGCTGTGCTAAGTTTTGGGGGCTCCCATCCTAAACAGAACTGGTGTTTACAATGCGAACAAGAAAGAAAGATTAGTGCCGGGAAATCTGACTGGCCCTCCCTGGTGGCCAGTGGGTTGGAGCGCTGCACTGAGGTCAGTTTCCCCAGCACGGAGGGGCTGTGGGAGGCGCGAGGCCACTGAGCATGGAGACCTGCCCGGTCTGAGCCCTGATGTGTGGACGCCCGCAGCCAGCTGAGAAGACCCAGTATCTTAAAAAGAAGCAAATACCTATTAAGACTATTTTTAGAAGCTATCTTCTGTGCTTTACTTATTGAGACAGTGACACCGCTCACTAAATCCCTAAGTGCTTAGAAGTCCTGCTCCTACCTTCTACTCTGAGAAAATGCAGGTTCTTAATCTTTCCAGCTTCCTGGACCCTGAAATCGGCAGTTCCTAGGATTACACACACATGTACACCCATGTGCACACATGCACACCCAGGCTGAGGCCTCGAGGGGGCCCCCACAGCCTGACCTCAGTGTGCCTCTACATCAAGGGCTCCAGCTCAGGCTGGTGTCCTGGGACCCAGCGAGGCTCTGGCTCAAAGCCACGGGTTGGTAGCCGCGCTGTGTGGCGAGGCCCGAGTCACAAGTCACTTCAAAGTGGTGTTCAACCAGAAAGGTGGGGGCGGCTGCACGCTGTCCCTCAGGCCCTGTCTCCCGGCCCCCGCGGCCGGCAGGGCACCTACCCACAGGCAGGCTCCTCGCTGGGGCCTCCCGTCCACTCAGGACACGCCTGGGCCCATTACTCCGACTGTCCGTGAGGCCATGAGCCGTGCGCAGGAATGAGGTGCACAGCGTGGGCTGTGGCAACAGTGGAGAGACGCCTCTGGAGAAATGGCCACGCAGAGAGACAACGGAGGCGGCAGCTGGAGGCTGCGACGAGGCCTCGGCCCTCCAACTGCTCTCACTCAGGACTCGCCTCGCCCCTGCGCTGGTGACTGCTGGTGACCTCGCGGGCGACCGCATTGCTCAGGGCAGCCTGGGCTACAGGGTGCTGGCTTCAGCACTCCCGGGGTAGACGTGAGGCACTGGCGCTCAGCAGGCACCTCACTTCAGCGCTCACAGGCCTCTCCTTCCTGTGAGTGTCGTGATACTGATTGCGCGCTGAAATGATACCAGTTTGGCTCTAGTGGGTTAAGGTCTACTACATCAGTTTCACCTACTTTGTACTTGCGATAAAACATAGCTGCCACGTACATTTGTGGCTCACCGTGTGCTCCTCGTGGCTCGCCCTGCCCTAGCCACGAAGACCGGCCTCTGAACGAGAGGCCTGGAGCACGTGCCGGCAGTCACCAGAGTCCCCTGCTTTGACTGCTGTGCAGCTGGGAGACGAAAACTTCAAGAACAGTTCCCAGAAGCATGCCCGTCTTAGCGTTAGACTGAAGCGCAGGCTCTCAGCGGGCTGCCCTGGACCCCAACATGCTGGAAGGCGTCTAGTAGCGAGAGACTGAGTGCCTGGGAGCTGCCAGATTTACTCTTTAGGCTGAACTTTAATCTAGAACTTTCTGCTTTCGTGCCTGGAATACTTTAGAAGGTGGCCAAAAAGCATCTCTGATTTCAGGGAAATGGAGCATTACTTTTACATACTGAAAAAGCAAAAGCATAAAAAGCTGGCCCCAATTTTTATTTATGACGGGTGCATAGGCCTGCATCTGCCAATCACATTCTCCGAGCCAACGGCATGCAGCTTGCGGTGAAGGGAGGCATGCTTCAGAGAAGCCCAGACTTGTTCTGCGTGGTCCTTAACTTCACCACAGAGGAAGGGAACCTCCCCCCAGCCCCTCGGGAAAGCGTCCCCAGGGAAGGCGGCCCTCCAGCGGGACGGTGGGGAGGCCTGTCTCTTACTGCTATGTCCTGGGCTGCTCTGCTCCAGGTTGGGACAGAAACTTGGAAAGATGATGGGGCAGAAGCTATGGGTGATGCCGCCAGCCACTCCCGCTCCTGCTCGCAGCAGGGAGAGGCATCCATGGCCTGCCAAAGCGCGCTGTTCTCTCTTCCTCGCTGTTCTCTCTTCCCCCCTGCCGTGCCTGGCCAGTGCCCCAACCCTGCCTTTGTCTGTACGCAAAATTGTCAGTAAAAAAATCCTGGGTGTGGTGCCAGAAAGCAGGCTGCATTTTTCCATAAGAACAATGGACAAAGCAGGCCAGGTGCTCTAGAGAAGGCAGAAGAAGCTGTCTACATTGCGTGGGCGGGCTAGCTTAGGAGTGACTTAACCTGTTAGGGCATAAGTAAATATTGTGTAGAAACCATTTCTTGTTCAAGGTTAGCGTGGTGCATGGCGTTAACAGACATTCAAGTAAGCAGTCGCCCTTACGTGTTCATACAGTTTCTTCCTGAAGGCCACCCTCTGGGTGGCCCGCTCACACAGGATCTCCAAAGCGCGCTCTGCCACACCCACTGCTCGCATACAGTGGTGGATTCTGCCAGGTCCAAGGCGGCCTTGGGCAATTTCGAACCCCCTGCCTTCACCTGTGAGAAAGGAGAACAGGAAGATGGCAACAGTTGTTCTTTTCACTGGTGACACACATCCTGGAGAAGTCATGAGTTGCCTTCAAGAAAAATGGCATTCAGGAGGGCAAAGTCAGCTTTCAACAAAGTTCCTCGCAGGTGTGTGGGACTTTTTGTTTCTGTGTTCTTTTTTTTTTTTTTAAAGATATATTTTTATTATTTATGCATACAGAACTGGGGCACAGGCCAGAGGTGCAGGCGGTGAAAGGATTCACAAGAGAGACAGTAAGGAGCAGAACAGGTAGATGGACTGAAATACACTGCTGAGGGGAGCAGCAGGGAGACAGGAGAGGTCTGCCGCGCCATGTGGGTCACCTCCCTGGCAGGGATCAAACTCGGGGACAGTGGTGATAGCGTGGTAGCACCGAGTCTTAACCCCTATCACAGGGAAGCCCTTTGATTCTTTGTTCTCTAAGCCAGCATTACTAAGTGTTTTGATCAAAGTTAAGAGCTGTCTCTTGAGCACCTATAACACACCAAGGAGCACCAGCTACTTGATAAGTCGTGACTGACTAAGCAGTCGAGCTCCTCCCTCCCAAACGCCATGAGTTTGGAGTCCAGCTGAAGGGGCAGGGCAAGGACACGAGGGACCAGGGACATGAGTGAGAAGAAGAAGGCAAAGGAGGGAGACGGTTCACACTGTCACGCGAGGTCCTGGCAGGCTCTGGGGCTCGGGGGTGGAAAGAGGCAGCGGGGGATGCGGAAACTCTCCTGCAAGAGGTGACATTTGAGAATTTCTCTGAAGCCTGGGAGGGGTTCCAATAAGCAAGAGGGTGAAATCATTCCAGGCACACAGTGTTCAGTTATTCCTGCGTCCAGTGTGTGTGCAATACTTGAATTCACAAAGTACCGAGATCCTCTTAAGACAAACAACGGTGAGAAGTTCATGTTTTAGGAAAAAGCGTGTCATTCTAAGTTGTATAACTGTGGTACTTAGCAATGTTTTCAATTGATGTGATGGAGAAAACCACAGCTAACACTGAGATAAAATCTTATTCTGTGCAAGAAAATCCGTAAAATGAAAAAAAAAAATTCCCTTGTAAGTGGAATAAAGGGGAAAAGTATTAAGAGAGACGTCCCATCTTCTCAAATTTAGACCTGACCATATTTTAATACCCAATACTGGAAAGTATCTTTTCCAAAGTACCTCACCTAGTATTAAGTTGGTGGCAGGAACTCGCACGTGATTAAAATGGATCTCAAAATGTCCTCCATGAAGATTATCTGTAAAATAGAAAATAAAATTGTAAAGAACAAAATGAATTGACCAAAAAAAAAAATCACATATAATCAATTCACTCAGCCCCTTGTCACAGACATTTCTGGGGAGATCCAAGCCCAGAAAACTCATCAACAATTCAAGTGAGAAGGGATTCTGGACAGCCCTGGATGAGGGTCCACGAACACATTTCTGAAGCTGAAGTGGGGAGTGGGGCCCAAGCTCCAAGCAGACTATTTTATTATGATCTCATTACTGCTGCTGCTTTGACATGTTTTTGTTTTTTTTTTTGAAAGATTTATTTATTTATTTGTGCATACAGAACTGGGGTACAGGCTAGAGGCTCAGGGGCGGTGAGAGGATTCACCAGAGACAGAGTGGGGAGCAGAACAGGCAGATCGACAAAGTACACTGCTGAGGGGAGCAGCGGGCGGGTCAGGAGAGGTCTGCCGCGCCATGTGGTCACCTCCGGGGCAGGCGGGGATCAGGGATCGACTCACGCGGAAGTGGCTTTAGCTTCTCAGTGCTGTGCTTTAACCCGCTGTGCCACCAGGGAGGGCCTGACATGTTTTTTTATATTTAGGCTTGCAAGGAAACTTGTGCTTGGAAAAAGAGGTTATAATGCTTCAAAACTGAACATGAGTCACCCGAGTTTCTAATTTTATTCTCGTGGAAGGTAAGAAGGGACAAGCAGGCCTTCAAGACCAAGCAGAGGCCTGGCCTTCGCCTTTGCTCCTGAAAGGTCTGGCGTTAGGCGGAGCCAGAATCACATTCCACTTTGTCTTTGCATACTCTCCTTCCTGCCAAGTCCTGGAGATAATCTCATGCTAACTCCACACCCTTTTCCTGTCAGAATAGACATAAATCATGAGCCTTCACCACAGTTTCTTTTGGCCTTGAACACAGGGAGCTGACTAGGTGCTGGAGAATTTGTCATTCTGAAAATTCAAACATCAGGTCTGCAAAGCACGGTCTTTGCTGTCAAACTGTTTTATAAACCCACTTTGAGAGTCTTTAAAGCTGCTGCTCTCTGCAACCCAACAAACTCCCAAGTACCTTTTGCCCCAGTGAGTCCTTCTCCTTTTTACCAACTGCGATGACCCTGTGGTGCATTCTGCAGCTGCGCCCTAACTGGGGGTAGGGAGTTGGGCGGAAGCCAAAGCCGTGAGGGGTGGCGCCCTGGAGGGGGTGCTGGGAGGATGGACAGCCCCAGGGAGATAGCACAGACATGGGCGGGAGGGACTGGTGGGAGCCCGAGGGCCTGTGCAGAGCCCGAGGGTCAGCTCCGGGATTCAGCGTTCTTAGGTCCGGAGAGTCCCGTCAGCCCTTTCTGCCCACTGGCCGACCCTCAGAGGCTGTTGCGGACCTGAGGGACACGGAGAGGCTGGCATTCTGGCAGCCGACCTCAAAAAGGAACCTGGCTTCGTGGGCGGCCGAGCCACTGGCTTTGCTGCGGTTGCAGCCTGGAAGGAACAGAAGAGCCAGAGCCGGGCCCCTCGCTGAGCTGCGATGGGGCCCTCTCCTCCCTCATTCAGCTGCTGCGGCTGCTGTTTTGAGAGCATCAGGAGATGCTCATCGGAGCTGCCGAGATGCCCCAGCACAGCGCCAGGCAATCAACACTCAAAACAGCAGCCACAGTAGCTGAACCACCTGGCAAACGGCCCACTCGCAGCTCAGCGAGGCACCGGGCTCTGGTTCCTCGCTTGTTCCTTCCAGGCTGCAAGCGCAGCAAAGCTGGCAACGGTTTCAGGGGCTCGGTCTGAGGTCGGCTTCTGGAAGCCCCTCCACGTCCCCCAGGGTCCACAACAGCCTCTGAAGAGCAGCATGGTGGGCAGAAAGGGCTGACCACCTCTCGGAGACCTGAGAACGCTGAATCCCAGAGCTGACCCTGGGGCTCCACCGCGGGCTCCCACCAGTTCTGGCCCCGCCCAGGTCTGTGCAGATCTCCCTGGGGCTGCCCAGCACTCCCTCCAGGCCGCCACCCCCAACCGGCTTTGGCTTCTGCCCCTGTTTCAAAGGAAAGGCGAGACACTCAGATGTCCTATGAAACCGCACGTCTCACACCTGCGCCTCGAGCCAGCCTATGGGCCATGCTCAAGCAAGGGACAGGCAGGGTCCCACGGGCCCTAACTAACGGCCCATCAGCTTTTGTCGCAGCGTTTACTTGCTAACGTGCTCTCCCTGGAGTCACTAGAGGGTCATAGTTGCTGCCTGTCTGGCAGGCTCCGTGAAGGCAGTCGTGCGCGGGGGTGTTCGTGTACTCAGCGCCTAGGTCACTCGCTGAGTGGATGACGTGAGTGGCAGGGAGAGGCCAGGCAAGAACATGAGGTGGGGTCAAGACACAAAGGCAGAACTGCATCCTGGAGATTCCGCCACGCAGAGAGGAAGAAAGGCTTTGCCTTTGAATCGTTCAAACCTCGGGCTCATTAATAGCTCATGTAGGGCGGCTGGCTAGGAACGCTGAACTTGAAGAGAAGGGTAAATTTTACTGTGGATGACCTAGCTTTCCTCTATCTATTTCATTAGTCCGTTTCCTCAGATGACAGCGAGAAAACCAGCTATCTGAGCTGCTGTGCCTTGAATACAATCTGCTCTTTCCCCAAAGTAACCAAAACAAGGTAGGACCCTGCATTTCTTTGCTCTGTGCTGAGCTCCTGGAATTTCTATTAAGACGGTTGTTAGGGCCAAAGGACTTCTAAGAAAACATCTCACACATCTGCTGTTGTAGCTATGCCCTTCCTTGTGATGGAAGCTTCTAGATTCCTGCTGGCTAATGCATCGACGTGTTGACTGGGTACTTACCCAGATAGCCAAATACTGACAAAGGTCTTACTACTTTTATTCCAGGTGTATTGATCGGAACAAGAATCATGCTGTGTTGTTTGTGTCTGGACAAAAGAAAAACAGATGTTAGGAAGCATTTGCTAAGTGGAAAAAGAAAACAGATGTTAAGCTGGGTCACAGCTGTCATGTTCATTGCTGTTATTATGTCATCACGTAAGCAGTGATGTCTGCAGTGAGAACAGTCGGAGGTGAACTGTGACCTAGCACAAGGACAGTCATTTGGGGACTCAGTCACTGAGGCTTGTCAGTGTTCCAGAGTGGGAACTGGGAACGGATGCTTGTTAGTGAACTTCGCCAGGAGCCTGCCTCTGATCCACACACCTAGCCACTTAATTACTTGTAGAGAGTTCTCAGAAGTTTTGTATGTGTCTAGTCAGCCAAACAGCTTTGGGATGTAGCAACACTTTAATCCCACAGTAGGGAATGCATAGCCACCCTCCTTCAAAAGTTTCCTAAATTTATCTTTCAGCAAAATAATTATGAAACACAAACATGTGACATTTAACTTCATACTCTTATTTTTAGTGCTCGGATTTGGGAGTCATGGACTTTTAGTAAACTGAGTGACTCTGATAACTGGCTTTTGTTCTCTATAGAGACCTCACAGTTGTTTGATTACCTGTCAGCAGAGGGATTCTCAGTCCTTCCCAAAACAATGAATATTTTACACTTTGGATTCCCAGCTCCTAAAACCAAGGGGAAAAGACAACTGAATAAATACATCACAAGAGGAACATTTTCAGACATTTCACCCTAAGGTTCTACTATGTTTACGTCTATCTCTAGTTAAAAACAAACAAAAAAACAATGAATAACTAGCCTGGATATTTATTAATTTTTTTCTTATGCACAAAACTATATATCACCTCTCCTCCCCTCAAAGTTGATTAGGCAAAGCCAAGAACAAACTGTATCAATGACAGCCGTTGCACAAAAAGAAGTGAAAGTCCAGGAAGCCAAGAAACAGCTGCAACCCTTAAGACAAAGGACAGCTCTCCCGGTGACAGCAATTCAGATCTCAGCACGCCAGAAAGCTTGTGAAATCCTCCTACAGTGTTTCCTCCTGCCTGAAGCTCATCTTTCTTACACATGGCCAAGAAGGTATTTAATGCCCATGACCCTAACTTCCTGACCTGTGGTTGAGAAAAACCTAATTTCTCAACCTGTGGTTGAGAAAAACCCCACGATGGAGTTAGGGGAGAAAGATGGCTTACTCAGAGCTGCCCATCTTCAGGAAGCCTATGTTCTTATTTATTTTCTTATTTATTATTTTATTAAGAATTAGATATTTAAAAATTTAAAGCTATGCTCATATTAATGCAAACCTTCTATCTCACAGTGCAGGGGCCTATGGCAATTTCCCATTGGGACCTTTGTGCAAAAAGCACATCTCATTTTGACCAGAAGGTCGGAGGCCTGGCCCCTTGGGACACAACCACTTCACTGGTTTTTCAATTAACAGGTGACTGGGTCAGACCAAGTCAAACACCTCTGTACAAAGTCAAGTAAATTCCTATTTCCAAATTCTTATAAATAGTGGTTTCTGGGCCCTTCCTGGTGGTGCAACGAGTTAAAGTGCTGCACTGCAAAAGCCTCAGCTGCTTCAGTACAAGTTCAAGCCCCAGCCAGGAGGTGACCCACATGGCACAGCAGACTTCTCCTGACCCGCCCGCTGTTCCCGTCAGCAGGGTACTTTATCAATCTGCCTGTTCTTCTCCCCACTCTGTCTCTGGTGAATCCTCTCACTGTCCCCACTCAAACCTCTGACCTGTACCCCAGTTCTGTATGTACAAATAAATAAATCTTAAAAAAAAAAAAAAGTGGTTTCAACAGGTCTGAAATCATATGAGAAGTCAATGAGAAATGTTAGGAATTATGTCAAATAGTTGTATAAAGCCAGAAGTTAGAAGGATCAACTCGATGGAACATACCAAAGGGTGTTTCAGGAATTTCAAACAACCTTTACTGGGAAACAGATATAATGATGTGATACTGGGATTTATTTTAAAATGGTATGAAGAAAGGAGGAAACAGATCCAAGAATAAAGCAAGAGAGGCCACGAATCAGAATTGACAGAGACTCAGAGTACTTGTGAGCAGTGTAACTGTGCCGTAGCTGTGTGATGAGAAAACACAAGTGGCATGTTGAGATGTGTGGGAACAACCCCCTTAATAGTGCACACAGGGAGGGGAGGAGGACTGGACTCAGGGAAGAAACACCTTGATTCCACAGACTGAAAAGAAACTGGGAAGAGGAACTTGTGAAGAGCAGAGCTCTGAGATAGAGATCAAGGCCAGCAGAAGAAAAGCAGCAGAAGAATGCGACTGAACAGTGAGGTGAGAGAGCAGGGTCTGCTTTGAACAAGAGCACTTACAGGTAAGAATCTGAAACTCCTCACAGGTGAGTCTCTAGCTCTGGAGGAGCAGCACGTGAATTAGGATGTAGTACTTACAGCTTAACAGAGGAAACTATGCAGTAGAAACAGTCTAGAAATTTCCTAGAATTCAGAATGGAAACTGAATCAGTAGCTTGTCTAAAACCAACCTGGAGAGATTCAAGATGGCCGAAATATGTGTGTTTCCCACCCCCTGAGATCCCAAGGGACCGATAATGTGGAAGCACCATGAAGTATGAGACTGCGACAAAAGGGGGAGGCGGGGAGGTGGGGCACGGGCCTGGCAGTGTCAGCCACCAACAGATGAGGGACATCGGCGAGGCGGGTGAACCCCCGGAATGGGAAGCGGTGTGAGAGTCCAGGAAAGGAAGGAAGGGGCTGCAAAGGGAGAGGGCTCTGACCCCGAGAGAGAAGGGGCGGCCGAGAAGGGAGGCTGCAAGGGGAGTTCACCCAGACTTGCAAGCAGGCCAGCTGGCTGGCACTGTCCACGCAGGTCAATGTGGCCAGCGTGACACAAAACTAAATAGATGTTTGAGACTTGGGGCGTGTGACCTGAAACCACGCTCCCCATCAGCTGACTAAAGCAAGAACTTTCTTTCCAACTCAGGAAAGGAAAAGAGCTGGAAAAGAGCACTGTGCTAGCAACAAATAATCTAACCAGCTCCTCTTCCTTTTGGCTTCAGTAGGGACAGAAAAACAAGGATCTGCTGTTGGTGAAGGGTCTGCAGCATGAAGGAGAATCACTGACCTAAACAGACAAACCATAAAGCTGACCCTTGGGAAAAAACAAGAAGCAAAAAGGACCTTTAAAAACTGAGCTAAATCAAACAATAAAACCACTGAATGAAATCTGAGAGCTCTAAATGAATTGCAGCCATAAAATCATAAAAGGAGGCGATGAACAACCTCAGAACAAAAAATAAGAACGCCTAGATAGCAACATAATTGTTAAAATATAACATTTAATAGAAGCACTAAAAGTCAAGAAGGAAATTTCCCCTCATTTCCACAGGGAAAGGTCAGAAACAGAAAACAGCAGAACAAAGATAATAGACACTTCAAGCCAAATGTGAAGGCCAATATTGGTGGGAAAGGCACTCACTGGTGAGAGAACAGGTAAAAATAAAGGGAACAATTTATCAGAGTACTTAGAGAAGAAAGTGGCAGGGGCTAGAGGGATCTTTGGGGAGGTCTTCAGGGTAAAGGGGACATTGACTGATGAGAAAAATCTCCAATATGTGCTGTGACATTTCAAAACACCAACAATAGAGGGAGAATCCTAAAAGGCTTTGAAGAAACAAAGCAACCTGCAAATGACAGGGATTAGACCTGCATCTGATTCATCAACAGCATGGGATGCAGGAGGACAGTGCAGAGCTGAACTTCAAGTCCGCCCCGTCCCAAACACCAACTATTATGCAGGCAAAATAAATACAGATTCAGACATGTAAGGCCTCAGAGAACTTACCAATTCCTTTTTCTCAAAAAGAACGCACTCATGGGCCCTCCCTGGTGGCGCAGCAGGTTAAAGCACAGCACTAGGAAGCTAAAGCCACTTCAGCATGAGTTCGATCCCCGCCTGCCCCGGGGGGATCCACATGGCGAGGCAGACCTCTCCTGACCCGCCCGCTGCTCCCCTCAGCAGTGTGCTTCATCAGTTGGCCTATTCTGCTCCCCACTCGGTCTCTGGTGAATCCTCTCACCATCCCTGCACCTCTGGCCTGTACTCCAGTTCTGTATGCACAAGTAAATAAATCTAAAAATAATAATAATAATGCACTCAAACAAGATAAAGGGATAAATCAAGAAAAGGGGAGCCAAATGATCCAAAAGGTTGCATATCCAGGAAAGGGGTGCATGGCAATTCCAGGCTAACTGTACCAGACTTTGCCTCACAGGTAATCAGCCCACATATGTATGATTCTATGGCTAGGAAGGGAGGGAGAAACCATCTAAGTAACTGGAACAGGAAATTTAAAAATTAACAGATTTATAAACAAAATATCTAAAAAGTCATTTCTCCCTTAGAAAGGAATGAATCTGTTTTTCATTAAAAGAAAAATTAGTGCTTTCATAAATACAAAAGAACTGCAATGGAGTTCGAGCAGAACAGTTTACAGTGTCTCGAAAAGTCTTCCAATGTTTCTTGACATTAGCCATAAAGGTCCTTAGTTCAATACATATATTCCTGTTACATCGAACAATAATAAATGATAATTTTAGAATGATTAGAGTTTGGAATAGAGCTATTACATATAGAAAGATTTTATTTTAGAGAATTTTGAGCTTACGGGAGCTTGGGGGAAGGACAGAGATTTCTCAGCCACTCCTTGGCTCCATCACGCATGACCTCACCATGATCTACACACTCCACCAGGGATGAACCACATTGACACGAAACACCCAGAGATCATCACTTACGTTTCATCAACCTTACAACGAAACACCATGATTCAAAGACCTGTTGTGCTGTGAATCACGCATATTAAACAGAGTTAATATTAGAGTGCAAATGTTTTAAAATGATGCTTGCAATTTGGGGTCCTTCAAATTGAATGGAATCTCCCACTGAATCAGTTCTGAAAGGACTCTCTTCAGAGAAGGACACACCAGCTGACATATTCTAATGAGAAAAGATGCTCCCTCACTCCCAGACAGTCCCTGACATAGGATGGTTTGACTAAGGATTTTCTACTTTACGATGGGACGAGGGAAGTGCATTTGGTAGAAGCAGTATTGATCTCTTCTCATGACAGAGGCAATGTAGTGAGAAAAAGCTCCTGGCCAATGGGGCATGAGGAGGGTAAGTGACCGAAACTACTGTCCCTATGACAGGAACCACGAGGCATGCACCACTTCGTGTAACATAGGCCTTGTGTTGGTTTTGCCCAACTCTAGGCTAAGGAAAGTGTTCTGAGCATGTCTCAGGCAGGCTAAGCTAAGGTGCTTGGTGATTTAGGTGTATTTAAATGTATTTTTGACTTATGATGCTTTCGATTTCAATTTGTACTTTCAATTGACGATAGGTTTATATCGTAAGACAAGCCCAATCTGTATTTCAAACTAAGTTTTAAAAATTTTAGATGTTATGCTCTCAAGAGTAAGTCTACTTGATTATCCTCATTTATTGAACCATCGGATTTTCCAAATGGTCTTAATTTTCAGATTGTGTATCATTGCTTTATTTTAAAAAAGATTTTGCCCTTTATATTTCTGTAGGTATAATAAGTACAAAAGGAATTTCACTAATGTGAGGATCCACAGGAAGAGTCAAGTGGCAGATAATACTA